TTCATGGATTCTGGGCTAATTGTGGGTTTGAAATAAAGGGTACATCCTTTTTTTTAGACCTTAGGGGTTAGAAAAAGGAAACATCATCCTTAGTGTTTTCAAATATGTGTAAAACCTCTCGCAAGTGTCAGGTTTTACCGTATTTGAAATCCCCTCTGTTATAATTTCGCTATTCTACACCCCTAGATGTGATAAAGACTTATGATAACACTTAATTAATAGATTTACGTCGTAACAGAAACGGGAAAAAAATACAATGTAACATGTATGACTCTTCCTCAATACTCCAAGGGTTACGCTCACTTTTGCTCTCTACACCCCTGGAATATGTCATAGCAAAGTTTTAGGCACGCGGCTAGCTCTTTGATTGGTCTAAGGTCAAAATAACCTGCCCAATTTGCTAGGCTGATACTTGTCTCATCCAAAAAGTGGCGCACACTGAGCCTTTGATTTTGCTATGATATATAGCAAATTAAAACCCCCACATGATTTCCCTAGTCCTGACATCCTCGATACTCCAGGGATTTCGCTCACGTACGCCCTTCTGGAGTATCGAGGATGTTCAGGACTACGGACATCATGTTTATTTTTTAAATCTTTTATGCCATGACAACCACCTACAATCTCGTTGGGATGGTTCATTGGACAAGCGGAGGAAGATCACAGAAATAGTGAGGCCTACCAGATATTCATTGGAGGACTGATATCACTGTCACTAACATTTGTGGCAATGATGACTGATTATCACTTCATTTTGTCAATAAAGATATTTCGTGTCACAGCTTTTGTTAAAAAGCTGGATTAATGCATCTATGTCTGTGTCAATAATGGTTGTAATTGCCTCTGTATTTGGGACAATACATATGCATATGACGCTCGTTTGCCACTGCAAGTACTGCTGTCATTGTCTGCACAATAATTGGCCGTCATTGATTCTGCATTTGTGCAAATAATGGCGGTTATTACTACTGCATGTAGGCTAAAGATTGACTGTCGTTTTCAGCAAGCATGAAAGTAAGATTCATGACATCATTCTCATGCTTACTCATGATTTGTGTGCTTACCATGTAACAAGGTCAAAAGGTCAGGTCTAGACATTGCAAACAATGATCCGCTTGACATATCTCAAACATTCTTCCAAATCTTTGAAAAAATGCGAGTTTTGATTAATTTTTTCACCGGAACAAGAAATTGGACTTATGTACAGAAACTAAACTTGAACATGTTTCATTAATGCTGGCCCAATTTTTATAGCTTTTTTTTTGTTTGATTTGATACTCGACGCAAGTGTACATGTGTAGTCGGATGAAAGGCTGTTAAGATTTAAACCCTGTAGAGTGAACATACGTAATCAAAACAACTGAACAACTATATGATTCAACAAAGACCACGGCACAGTGAAATAACAATTTACTTTATTACAATCAACCAATATATTTTCACCCAATCAAAGATATAATACTTAATGAAAACTCTTGAAACTTTGTCCTCTCTGATAATTTATTTGCATAAGTCTTAACTATTTGTTCATCTAAAACTATGAACGCAATAATTTAGGCAAGTATTGCATTTACAATGTATTGTAAAACTAGCAACAATAAAACAAAATATTGATTTAAAAAAATGAAATTTCAAAAATGTCGTCGATTGGGAAGTTATTATTATCTATCCCGGCGTTACTTTCTTTGAATTGCCTTTTGATAATATACTCCGTTCTTTTATTATCTTTTCTCTTTATAGTTAATTGAACAATATAATATAACTTGTTTCGTAACAACAGACATTTGTATTCTATTTCTATCGTCTCATTTGATGAAATATTATTGGTGCTGTACAACATTTTTATCAAAACAAAAACACAGGAGAACTTATAATATTTCTCGTTATAGAAATATCAGCTATATTATATCATATTATATTGATTGTGCTCGAGAGGCAATTTATATAACGAAAATACAAATGTGCGATAAAACAAAATTACCATAGATATGTTCATAGAACTTAAATGTGTCCATCAAGCAATAAATCATGAAATATAACATTAATGATAGAAAATCATTTTAGAACATAGAGTCTTGTGTCATTAAACCAGGCACCACTTATCTGGTGTTACCATCAAACAAGTATGGTTGGCATTGTTTGATATACAAAATGGATCTACGTATCCAACAGTCCTAAACACCAGATACTTTCCCTGAGTAGTAAGGTGGCTGGATTTACAATGCTTCCCTGCAAAGAAGTTATAGTGTTTAACTGCATCACAGACATATTGCATTTATTACAAATTCAAGCAAAAAATATGTTTAAGTACATTTTCACTCAAAATAATTCAAAACGTATATATATTTACATTTTATAAAATGTATTGATTTTCTAACTCCTGTTTTACAATCGCATGAGTTATTTTGCATTGTTTGATGATTGTTACTATGGTATATTTGTAACCATATAACACACACTGTGACGTCAGCCATGAACATTTCCTGAAGCGCTTCTAAAGAAGACGATATACTGACATATAGTTTTTAGATATAGGTCACGTGACGGGAACAATTACGGAAAATGTAAATACGACGATAGCAATAAGGCAAATAGTAACAACTAAATTTAGAGATATTAGAGAAGGCGGAAATTTAAATTTAAGATTTCAGATAAGTTTAACGGTATTTGATTTAAGAAGGAGAGGTGTCTTAATATGCCAATTTTTTTGTCAAACATTACCGAAAGAACTTTAAGATAATGATGAGGTCAACGATAGGATGAAAACATTTATAGTTGACATATCTTTGGCAAAATAGTGTAACTCTGTTTGAATGTAAACACAGCAAAACATCGACATAATGGCCCTCGTTTTCATTTGTCAGCTTTATGACTGCAAACATATTTCAGGAACTTCATTTTTCTCATTTTGTCTTTGAATTGTTTTCTTTAGTATAGGGCCAAAACCATTATAAAACACCATAATTATGCTGGACATTTGATGGCAGTATAACGAGGTTTTACTTTATAAATAAAATGTCCTTAATGTATCATGTTCTACAAAAATATTAGATAGTCATTCGAAACAAGCACGAAAACAATACTGACATATCTAAATACGAATTATACAAATATCATATTTATGTATTCAATACATACTTACAAGTATATTTACATACAATTTAATATTTTTTATCACAGCTATGCTCACCAAACATCACAGCTATGCTCACCAAGATAACAATAAAATTGCAGACTTCATTCCGAAAAAGTTTCACGAATAAAAAAAGATATCATATACTTAGCATATTTGTCAGAAATCATATTGAGTCTCCTAAATAAATAAATAAAATGACATGAAGAACGAATATTTTATTTGCTCCACAAGATATCGGAAAATCACAATTTCACAAAGGATAAACTAATAGGACAATATCTTATTCTCTTGTAAAATCACAACTTTGCAGGTTAAAACGAACCAGAATGATCACGTATCACTACCTTGATTACAGTTTTCACCAAACATTGCAAACTGTTTTAGTTTTTCTGCTGATCATTTCAAATATTTTAAAATGTTTGATGAAGGTAATAATCTGTGATCTACCTCGGCTGGAAAGTATCTTTCAAGATTACGTCACGATGTTATTTAGTGAGTGAGTCTTTAAGCTGATCATGGCCAAATTTGCCAAAGTCGTTTCAATAGAAATATTCTAATTATTCAGGTGTAAGTATCCAGCATCAGACGCACAACAATAGTATTAAACGCAATAAAATGCTGTTTAAATCGTCACCTAGTCTGTTAAAATATTATCTTGTATAAATATGGAAACGTACAGAAGAGAGGAAATGTCGGGAATGGACCGAATTCGGGTAGATATGACGTTTTTAATTCTTCACACAGACCACCAATGTTTGTTCCTCAATAAAGGAGAGAAAATATTCAAAGATGACATAATCTCTTGTCAACCAGCGGTCTACATATATCAGAAAGCAGCCAAGAAAATTAGAGTAGGCTGTATTATACACTTAGTGTGTAGATGAAAACAGACGAGTTAAAAAATGTAAGGTACGTTTGCTACATGCGTTAATTTAGTGAAAACAGCACAGCACATACGAGTTAGCTATGTCTTCTTAGTGTGCTAAATGCGCTTGATCTCTTGCTCAAAGAGGTGAAAACATCAGAGCATCAAAGACTAAGCTACATACATGGTTGCTTAAAGAATTCAGTTTCCTTGCACGTTTTCTCAGAGAGAAGTACATGTATACGAAAAAAAGCAGCACATACAAATAATTTGTGTCTGCTCAGTACGCTTGAACACTTACTAAATGAGGAAAATACGAAAACAGCACAGTAATAAGAGTAAGTTTTGTCTGCTTAATGAGCTCAGTGCACTTGTTCTCTTACTCAAATACAGGTGAACGAAAACATCACAGCACATAAGAATAATCTTTGTTTACTTAATGAGCTAAGTGCGCTTGCTCTCTTACTTAGAGAGGAGTTTACGAAAACAGCAAAGAATACAATAGTACGCTATGTCTGTGTGATGAGTTCAGTACGCTTGCTCTCTCACTCAAAGAGGAGTGTACAAAAACAGCTAAGAATACAAGAGTATGCTATGTCTGTTAAATGAGCTTTGTGAGCTTGCTCTTCTACTAAAGTAAATTATACAAGTCAAATCAGTAGGCGACGTCTCTATTACATATTCTTAGACCTGATGAAGAACACGGAATTTAAAATAAAAAATGAAAAATATTGTAACAAAAAATATAATATTGATTCATCTCCATGACACAAATTGTAATATAACAAAAAACATTCACCAGAAATCATATGTACTATGTTGCCTTATGAGGTAGAACTCGCAGTACTCAAATATATTATTTTTTGAAGCCGGATGTCGTGATACCACTTTGGATTTGGTCTTTATGACTTTAGCTCATTTTTTCTTTACTTTAATACAAAATGAATACCGCTAAAGGTATTTTTCTAATAAACCGAGGTTGCACTTCCTTTTTTTTTGAAATGTTTTCGTATCTAATATCTTCGACAAACCGAAGTTGGACTGCATTTATACCGGTAACACTTTCATATCGAATAATGCAGCTTACGAATTTTATAAAATAGTAGCACTTTCTTATATAACAGTTTTTAAATTTGACTTCCTTAATCACATTAATACTGCAGTACTTAGTTTCCGGATGTTCCACTGGTCTGTTTGTTCCTTGATGCAGTGACCTCCTGTTAACGTTCGTTTGGATATAACTTTAACACAGTTCGGCCAGATAACGTCCTTAACTAGGTAGCTCAATCGGTTAGGGTGACGGTGTAACAATCTGAAGTCACGGATTTGGAATCCCAGTCTACCCACGACGAATATTAACAGTCAAATCACCGTAACTGTTTACAATTTCTCATAAAGGTCCCGAAAGGTATGGTTTCGCTTCTTGAATGGTTTATAAAAGCTATAATCACGGCGGAAAAGATAGTTTCCTAGACTAAGTTACAGTTTTTAACATTGATCCCAGGATCCTTCAATACTTATTGACGGGAAACAGCGCCAGTCTTCGTCATAACGTCACACAAGTATTGCTGAAGGACAACAGAGAAACAGAACGAAATATCCGAGGATTAGTATGGCCAAAATAGGGCTTAACTGCGGACTTGTAGCTCCAGAATCAAGATCAGGTTCGTCAGAGCACGTGACTGCCGCCGAATTCTGGTACGTATCGTTATATCCTGATACAATCACGCCCCATCCGTCAAACTGACAATTCAGAATCGAGGTCTCCGTTCCCACGCACTGGACATTGTCCATCCAGGTCGGCTGTATACGGTTGTTTTTACCGTGGAAGTGGTCAATTGTAAGAGCCGTCCCGGAACTTAAAAAAGAAAAGATGACTGTATTCGCAATATATTTTAACTTATTTGAAATAAAGAAATAAAATTGATTGATAAAGGATTTTTTTTTGAATAATTTCATAATCAACATCTGAAACAGGATGTTTGTTTATAAGATATCACCTAACGGTACATTTCATCAACCATATCTTATTTTTGATGTCAAGACCAATAGAGTGAAATCGAGCCTCAGAATAATCACAACCGATTTCCTGAACCCAAATAACATTTGAGGGTAAAATCGGCACATCATTGATGCACCAGTGTTAACGCTCACTTTCGCTCTCTGTACCCCTTGAATATGACCAAGTTAAACGGAATGAGACGAGAAGACTAGTCTGGTCCTTTGATGTACTCTTGGTCTCGTAACGGTAAAATTGACTTCCTTTGAAGCCGGGCGTCGCGTCTCTGTTATCTTTAAAGGACAGGTATCAAACAAGCGATTGGTCAGGTTCCTTTCCCCGAGACCACTCAAATAGCGAGCCAGGTGCCTTCAAATTTGCTATGACATATACCAGGGGTGCAGAGAGTGTAAGTGATCGTAACCCGTGCAGTTTTGAGGATGAAATCTGCATTACTTGAACATTAACCTCAGGAACAGTGTTAAAAGAGTTCCTTATTAAGAAACCAGTAAAAATTGAACGGTTGCTTTTACATGTTAATAGGCTGATGGCTCATTTGACAAATAGCGGGATTCAATAATTTATAATACGTTGATCATTTATCAAGAGAGGTAACTATCACATAAATTATAGCCGAAGTTTATCAAGTAGTAACTTGCATTAAGAAATAATTAATTAACTTTTCATTGATTCTAAGGTTTCGTTACTTCAGTCATTTTTTTATCTCTCGTCGTTCTCTCTCTCGCCCTTTCTCTCTCTTTCGAAACCAAAATTTCCAGAGTAATGTCATAACGTACTTGTGGTTTAGCATAACACATATTACGTTGGCATCATCGTCGTCCCAGGACCAGCCGCCAATATAACCCCACTGACCATTGTAGTAGACTTCAACGCGGTCAGACTCCCCCAGACGGACGTCAAAGTCGCTTGTACCTATAACAGTAGAAATCGAACACATATCCATTATCATATATTTATCTTGTTACATGTCTGGTTGATTTAACGAGGTGATGAATCGAACGGATCATGAGAAAGGACAAGGGGCGTCAAGGGTCATTTCCGGCCTCATCGAGGATTTATAGGTTGTTGTTATATACGTTATCTGGAATAAATGAAGAACGCAAATATGAAGTTTCAAATTCATTCGATAACTGGTTTAGGAGATATGGCATAACGAAGAGAGCCATTAAACTGCATTTTCATAATAATTCCAAATTCGCCATTTGGAAGGAAATTAACATAACACTTTTCAATTTTTGAAAGTCTGCGCATTCACCGAACAAAACACTATTTGACATGCTTAAACATTGTCATACCAGTGTTCATTTGTAGAAAGGAGATTTTGTTTGGCACATGTGGAGGCTTTCATTTCTGCATGTTTACTGTCCAAAAACACCATATTTTGGCTATTTCTGCTTAGCAACGCAATTTTGTTGCTATGGTATGGCATCTACGCCTGCGCATTGGAAAACAAATCTGCACCAAGGAAGATAGCCCCAATTAACCAATATATTTATAATAGAAAATGGTATATAAATTCAAATTGAAATTTTCCCTTTTTATGAGACCAAAAATAACCCATAATGCACCAAGTTCTTTAATGAACATGTCTCAAGATTAACCCAATCCATTCCCAATAGACAAGAAATAACCAGTTTTTCTACATTTTGGGTGTACTTCAAATATTTCCAAGTACTAAGTTCTTCATTTGATGACATAAAAAGATCGAATTATTTTTTAAAAGACCACTACAGGTAACAGCATGCTATGCCTAAAGATCAACCCAATCTGTATCCCCCAAATAGACCACCAATAAACATATTTCTTTGGTTTGAGTATACTTAACATACTTCAACGTACATGTACCAGTTTCTTCATTTGTTGAAAAGATGAATGAATGGTTTATGATACTATCAGAACCACGATATGTTTTAGGGACATAATCGCAAGAAGCACGAAGTCAGAAAACACTTATTTTTTTTTTTTTTAAGTAGATGCAGAAAGCGAAATATACAAACATTCCACTGCGCCATCAGGCGTTTTCGTTCATTTAGGACTTATCATTGCTACTTAAGGACCCCGTACCACTGCCAAATATTGTAACTATGCAGCGGAAATCGACTATTCCTGCTTGACCAAAACCACGATGATTTTCTTCTGAAAAGAAAACTACACCTTTCGAGACATTTATGAAAAATAATATAGATGAAATAATCAAAATATAACCAACAATGGTGTTTTGACTGTAAAAATGCTAGCGGGGCTATACCTGGATTCGAACCTTGAACTCTTTTTTACTATCTCTGTAACCGATTGGGCTAAATGTACCAGGTCAACGGAAGTGGGATGGCCTAACTGTGCTCGGTTACATCCGAAGGGAAGTGACGAGGAGGTTACTGTTTATAGGGAAAATGGCAGTGCAGTGGGAGAGGTATCCTTAAGAATAAACACATCATTGTCTACTCTCTAGTAGATCTAGTGCAAATATACAGATGTTCACCTACCAGTGTTGTCAAAACAGATGACTCCTGCGTCCTGGCTATGGTTACATGGAGCTCCCCATCCGCTGAAGTAACAATTTCTTATGTCCGACTCGGTTCCTATACAGTTGACGTCAGACATCCATATCGTACCGCTCCCTTCTCCAAATACAGCATATCTGATGGCAGTACCGTCACTATCAATAAACCAAAAAGCAACATATTCTTTTATGACACTTTGTGACTTTTTGGCATAAGTTTACGTGTTATTATTCGCACTATGAGCTCTAAGTGTTGATAAGGCCAAACAAATGCTATATTTGTTTCAGGCAACATGCCTGAACAATAGGGAAGGTCGGTTGGCAACTTTTTATTTATTTAATTTATATATTTTTTTATTTCTATGGGTCAATAGTATGCTTCATATCAATTTTTTACAATTCATTTACGCACATTACAATATTTATGAATTTGTCAAAAATAAGAATGAAAAAGTTTTACATTATTATAAATAGAAGTTTTTATAATATACATTAATGGGAAACCGCCACAATACCACTAAATGGAGAACACTTTAGATCGGAAAAGCTATGCAATCGGAGCGAGATTGTTTTGGGGAAAATGTGTAGTGGGTAGGTCGAGTACTTAATGTATGTTTGTACATCCCTTCTTACTGTTAAAGTATGAATTATAACACACGGAAATGTTTGTATTTTGAATGTTTAAACTGTTCGAGGAATTAAAACTTCACGTCGGCAATAATTCTGAAAGATATATATTCTTTAGAAGTTATCGTATGAGGGTTTCCATACTTTACATCGTATTAGCCCGAGACTCCAATATCAGCCCTCAGGCCTCCGGCCCCCTTGGGCTAATATTGGAGTCACGAGCTGATACGGAGCAGGCTTTTGAAATGGGCATATTGTAACCTTTTTATAAAATACTGCTTTATAACATCAAACATATAAGCCATAACACATAAAACGGACAGAAAATTGTATTTCGTGAGCGCAATTACAATAACATTATACCTTAAACAGCATTAACAGAATAGCAGACAGATATGCAGTAATTACAATACCAGATTAAGATGTTATTCCTCTGAAAAGTGTTAAGCCTGAAATTAAACGGATATGGCAGATGCCGTGCAGATATAGATTGTCCGGGATATGGCATATGCACAACTAGCAGTATCACACATGCAAAACAACTCGCATCACAGAATAGTATATGATAAATATATTTATAATCTTCGTACATATATACATGGATATATTTGTGATACTTTATACCACAGGAAAAACACGATCATTTAAACATTACGACAATTTCCATTTTAAAAGAAAATACATAGACATGTGGTAATATACATTCTGATAAAAGAATTACAATAGACTGCATTATAAATAAGAATCAGTGATTATATATCCTGTCATACCATACGAACCACTGTGAAATCAATGATTATCGCATAACAAAGTTTATGATAGGAATCAATGCTTACCTGTATCCCAGCATCCTGCACACCACTTTGGCGTCATTGTTATCCCAACCGTCATCACAAACTGTGCCCCAAGTGTCATTATGAATCAACTCCACGCGACCAGAAGAGACGGAGAATCCATTCACCAGGCGGACAGTGGGAGGTATCGCTGTGGTGGTTGTAGATGGAGACGTAGTGGTAGTGGTTGTTGGTAGAGTTGTGGATGTAGTTGTTGGTTCAGTTGTAGAAGGGGTTGTTGGCTCATTTGTAGTTGTAGTTGTTGGTTCAGTTGTAGTAGTAGTTGTTGGTTCAGTTGTAGTTGTAGTTGTTGGTTCAGTTGTAGTAATAGTTGTTGGTTCAGTTGTAGTAGTAGTTGTTGGTTCAGTTGTAGTTGTAGTCGTTGGTTCAATTACCGTTGTAGTTGTTGTCTCACTTGTAGTAGTAGTTATTGGTTCATTTGAAGTAGAAATTGTGGTTAAGGGTGGAGTTGTGACAGTTGTTGCAATTATTGTTGTACTTGCGGTTGGCGATATTGCTGATACCAGTTCGGTTATTGTTGGCAATAAACTTGAAGACAGATCGGTATTTGTTTGGAAGATAGTTGAAGGGAGATCCGTGTTTGTAGCAAAGATAGTTGAAGGAAGACTGTTAGTTGAAACACTAGTTGAGGGGAGGTCAAAATTTGTTTGAAAAGAGGTTGATGGCAGAATCGATAAAGTTGCTGAGACAATTGACGGCAGTGAAGCGAGTGTTGACAAACTATTTGAAGGTAAGTCACTGTTTGTGGGGAAGACAGTTGAAGAAAATTCACTGTTTGTTAGGAAGAGAGTTGAGGAAATGTCACTGTTTGTTGGGGAAATGGTTGAGGAAATGTCACTGTTTGTGAGGAAAAGAGTTGAGGTAAAGTCACTGTTGGTTGGGAAAGGAGTTGAGGAAAGGTCGCTGTTTGTTGAGAAGAGAGTTGAGGAAAAATCACTGTTTGTGGGGAAGAGAGTGGAGGAAATGTCACTGGTTGTGAGGAAGAGAGTGGAGGAAATGTCACTGTTTGTGGGGAAAAGAGTTGAGGATAAGTCGCTGTTTGTGGAGAAGAGAGTTGAGGACATGTCACTGTTTGTGGTAAAGACAGATGAGGAAATGTCACTGTTTGTGGAGAAAAGCGTTGAGGAAAAGTCACTGTTTGTGGGGAAAAGAGTTGAGGATAAGTCTCTGTTTGTGGAGAAGAGAGTTGAGGACATGTCACTGTTTGTGGAGAAGAGAGTTGAGGAAATGTCACTATTTGTGGGGAAAAGAGTTGAGGATAACTCGCTGTTGGTGGAGAACAGAGTGGAGGAAATGTCACTGTTTGTGGAGAAGAGAGTTGAGGAAATGTCACCATTTGTGAGGAAGAGAGTTGATGAAAAATCACTGTTGGTTGGGAAAAGGGTTGAGGAAAAGTCGTTGTTTGTGGGGAAGAGAGTTGAGGTAAAGTCACTGTTTGTGGGTAAAGGAGTTGAGGAAAAGTCACTTTTGGTTGGGAAGAGAGTTGAGGAAAAGTCACTGTTTGTGGGGAGAACAGATGAGGAAAATTCACTGTTTGTGAGGAAAAGAGTGGAGGAAAATACACTGTTTGTGGGTAAAGGAGTTGAGGAAAAGTCAATGTTGGTTGGGAAGAGAGTTGAGGAAAAGTCACTGTTGGTTGGAAAGAGAGTTGAAGGAAAGTCACTGTTTGTTGGGAAAAGAGTTGAGGAAAAGTCAATGTTTGTGGGGAAGACAGATGAGGAAAAGTCACTGTTTGTGGGGAAGACAGATGAGGGAAAGTCACTGTTTGTTGGGAAGAGAGTTGAGGAAATGTCACTGTTTGTGAGGAAGAGAGTTGAGGAAATGTCACTGTTTGTGGGGAAGAGAGTGGAGGAAATGTCACTGTTTGTGAGGAAGAGAGTGGAGGAAATTTCACTGTTTGTGGGGAAAAGAGTTGAGGATAAGTCGCTGTTGGTGGAGAAGAAAGTTGAGGACATGTCACTGTTTGTGAGGAAAAGAGTTGAGGTAAAGTCACTGTTGGTTAGGAAAGGAGTTGAGGAAAAGTCGCTGTTTGTTGAGAAGAGAGTTGAGGAAAAATCACTGTTTGTGGGGAAGAGAGTGGAGGAAATGTCACTGTTTGTGAGGAAGAGAGTGGAGGAAATGTCACTGTTTGTGGGGAAAAGAGGTAAGGATAAGTCGCTGTTTGTGGAGAAGAGAGTTGAGGACATGTCACTGTTTGTGGAGAAGAGAGTTGAGGACATGTCACTGTTTGTGGAGAAGTGAGTGGAGGAAATGTCACTGTTTGTGAGGAAGAGAGTTGATGATAAATCGCTGTTTGTGGAGAAGAGAGTTGAGGACAAATCACTGTTTGTAGAGAAGAGAGTTGAGGACATGTCACTGTTTGTGGGAAAGACAGATGAGGAAATGTCACTGTTTGTGGAGAAGTGAGTGGAGGAAATGTCACTGTTTGTGAGGAAGAGAGTTGAGGATAACTCGCTGTTGGTGGAGAAGAGAGTGGAGGAAATGTCACCGTTTGTGGAGAAGAGAGTTGAGGAAATGTCACCATTTGTGAGGAAGAGAGTTGATGAAAAATCACTGTTGGTTGGGAAAAGGGTTGAGGAAAAGCCGTTGTTTGTGGGGAAGAGAGTTGAGGTAAAGTCACTGTTTGTGGGTAAAGGAGTTGAGGAAAAGTCACTGTTGGTTTGGAATAGAGTTGAGGAAAAGTCACTGTTTGTGAGGAAAGGAGTTGAGGAAAATTCACTGTTTGTGGGTAAAGGAGTTGAGGAAAAGTCAATGTTGGTTGGGAAGAGAGTTGAGGAAAACTCACTGTTGGTTGGGAAGAGAGTTGAAGGTAAGTCACTGTTTGTTGGGAAAAGAGTTGAGGAAAAGTCACTGTTTGTGGGGAAGACAGATGAGGGAAAGTCACTGTTTGTGAGGAAAGGAGTTGAGGTAAAGTCACTGTTGGTTGGGAAAGGAGTTGAGGATAAGTCGCTGTTTGTGTGGAAAACAGATGAGGAAAATTCACTGTTTGTGGGGAAGACATTTGAGGAAATGTCACTGTTTGTTGGGAAGAGAGTTGAGGAAATGTCACTGTTTGTGAGGAAGAGAGTTGAGGAAATGTCACTGTTTGTAGGGAAGAGAGTGTAGGAAATGTCACTGTTTGTGAGGAAGAGAGTGGAGGAAATTTCACTGTTTGTGGGGAAAAGAGTTGAGGATAAGTCGCTGTTGGTGGAGAAGAGAGTTGAGGACATGTCACTGTTTGTGGAGAAGAGAGTTGAGGAAATGTCACCATTTGTGAGGAAGAGAGTTGATGAAAAATCACTTTTGGTTGGGAAAAGGGTTGAGGAAAAGTCGTTGTTTGTGGGGAAGAGAGTTGAGGTAAAGTCACTGTTTGTGGGTAAAGGAGTTGAGGAAAAGTCACTGTTGGCTGGGAAGAGAGTTGAGGAAAAGTCACTGTTTGTGGGGAAGACAGAGGAGGAAAATTCACTGTTTGTGGGGAAGAGATTTGAGAAAATGTCACTGTTTGTTGGGAAGAGAGTTGAAGAAATGTCACTGTTTGTGAGGAAGAGAGTTGAGGAAATGTCACTGCTTGTTGGTAAAAGAGTTGAGGAAAATTCACTGTTTGTGGGGAAGAGATTTGAGGAAATGTCACTGTTTGTTGGGAAGAGAGTGGAGGAAATGTCACTGTTTGTGAGGAAGAGAGTTGAGGAAATGTCACTGCTTGTTGGGAAAAGAGTTGAGGAAAAGTCACTGTTTGTGGGGAGAAGAGTTGAGGATAAGTCGCAGTTTGTGAGGAAAGGAGTTGAGGAAAATTCACTGTTTGTGGGTAAAGGAGTTGAGGAAAAGTCGCTGTTTGTGAGGAAGAGAGTTGATGAAAAGTCACTGTTTGTGGGGAAGAGAGTTGAGGACATGTCACTGTTTTTGAGGAAAAGAGTGGAGGAAAATACACTGTTTGTGGGTAAAGGAGTTGAGGAAAAGTCACTGTTTGTTGGGAAGAGAGTTGAGGAAAAGTCACTGTTGGTTGGGAAGAGAGTTGAAGGAAAGTCACTGTTTGTTGGGAAAAGAGTTGAGGATAAGTCGCTGTTTGTTGAGAAGAGAGTTGAGGAAAAGTCACTGTGTGTGGGGAAGACAGATGAGGAAAAGTCACTGTTTGTGGGGAAGGCAGATGAGGAAAATTCACTGTTTGTGGAGAAGAGAGTGGAGGAAATGTCGCTGTTTGTTGAGAAGAGAGTTGAGGAAAAGTCACTGTGTGTGGGGAAGACAGATGAGGAAAATTCACTAGTTGAGGAAAAGTCACTGTTGGTTTGGAAGAGAGTTGAGGAAAAGTCACTGTGTGTGGGGAAGACAGATGAGGAAAAGTCACTGTTTGTGGGGAAGACAGTTGAAGAAAATTCACTGTTTGTGGGGAAGAGATTTGAGGAAATGTCACTGTTTGTTGGTAAGAGAGTTGAGGATAAGTCGCTGTTTGTGAGGAAAAGAGTTGAGGAAATGTCACTGTTTGTGAGAAAGAGAGTTGCGGAAATGTCACTGTTTGTGGAGAAGAGAGTGGGTTGAGGACAGGTCACTGTTTGTGAGGAAAAGAGTTGAGGTAATGTCACTGTTGGTTGAGAAAAGGGCTAAGGAAAAGTCACTGTTTGTGAGGAAGATAGTTGATGTAAAGTCACTGTTGGTTGGGAAAGGAGTTGAGGATAAGTCGCTGTTTGTGAGGAAAAGAGTTGAGGAAATGTCACTGTTTGTTGGGACGAGAGTTGAGGAAATGTCACTGTTTGTGAGAAAGAGAGTTGCGGAAATGTCACTGTTTGTGGAGAAGAGAGTTGAGGAAAAGTCACTGTGTGTGGGGAAGACAGATGAGGAAAAGTCACTGTTTGTGGGGAAGACAGATGAGGAAAATTGACTGTTTGTGGGGAAGAGAGTTGAGGATAAGTCGCTGTTTGTGAGGAAAAGAGTTGAGGAAATGTCACTGTTGGTTGAGAAAAGGGTTGAGGAAAAGTCACTGTTTGTGAGGAAAATAGTTGAGGTAAAGTCACTGTTGGTTGGGAAAGGAGTTGAGGATAAGTCGCCGTTTGTTGAGAAGAGAGTTGAGGAAAAGTCACTGTGTGTGGGGAAGACAGATGAGGAAAATTCACTGTTTGTGGGGAAGAGAGTTGAGGATAAGTCGCTGTTTGTGGAGAAGAGAGTTGAGGAATATTCGCTGTTTGTTGGGAAAAGAGTTGAGGAATAGTCACTGTTTGTTGGGAAGAGAGTTGAGGATAAGTCGCTGTTGGTTGGGAAAAGAGTTGAGGATATGTCGTTG